CCTCCCTCCCCACCCTCCACCTCCCGCGACACAACAGATATTTTCTGTTGAGTCGGAGTGGAGGGAGCAAGCTCTGCTTTGAAGCCAGCTATGTGTCTGCAGTCTCCCCCCCCCCCACCCCCCAAGCTCTGGTATTGTCTTCAGGGTGGGAGGGAGGAGAAGGGGTGGGGGGAAGCTTGGGCTGGTGTTTTCCCAGCCTGCATTGGAGGAAGGAGGCTCCAATCCACCCATCCCTACCCTCCAGTGCAGGCTGGGCAAATCCCATCCTGTGCTCCACTCCCCCCCCCCATCTTGAAGACAGCACCAGGGTTTGGGTTGAGCTGATGCAGCCCAGCCTTTCTCCAGGCAGGAACTGACAGAAGTTAATGTAGGTGCTCCACTTTGGAGAACCTTCATCTGAACAATCATGTAATGGGGGTTCAGATTGTCATACAATCGGGCTATTTTAAAGTGCTTTGCAGCTGTCCACTTCTGTCAGGGCATGGCTATACAGCACTTTCAGGGGGTTGATCATGTGACAAAATATCACTTCTGTCAGTGTTTTAAATTCTCTAATTCCTTATCCCTGAATAAAAAGACTTAACCATATACCTTCTCTCAATCTAAATGTCCACACAGAGATGTGTCAACCCACTGGTAGTTCCAGGGATCTGTGGTACTATACAGAGGGTCCCTGGGATGTTTGGGCATGAATTTGGAATTGTTTTGAGCCCTTTTCTGAGTAATAGGCATGGTAGGTATGCTGGGTACAAGAAATTAATTTTTAGGGCCTTTTGTCATCACTTCAAGGGTACTTTAAGTATTCCTGAAGAATTCGTATTTTGACAAAGTGTAATAGTCATCTATACAATGTTTTCTTCCTTCGCTATGTTCTGAAATATTGTTTTTCCAAACCCAGAAAAAGATCTTAATACATAGAGGTTCCTCAGGCAAAAGAGATTAAATAAGTTTAGATTTGCTTATTAAATCTAAATGTTTTTTAAAGTTTATTTATCAATAGATTTATTTTGGCAGTGATGTCTTTAATATTATTGTCTTTATAGCTTTTTATTCCTATTACTGTATTACTGAAGAGTCTTGATCATAGACTAGGACACAAACAAATGCTAAGAACTATTCAAACCCAGAACAAAAAAATTAGACCCTGCCTGGAAGAGTTAACAGTCTAACATAAGAAAACAAATGGATACAGAGAGATGGAGAAGCTGAGTAAAAGAATGAGACAGGAGGATAAGCAGCATTCTAGTAACTAGAGCAAGGATTTATAGTTTAGAGAATACAGAAGCACAACAGCCAGCTCACAGAGG